AAAAATTAAAAGTAACATTTTTCCTATATATAATGTTAGTTTTTTTATAGTCTGCGTATAAGTATTTACTTACTTTAGGACCGTTTGAAAGCACACTGGACCTATCCTTTAGCTTTACTCTTATACTCTAAGTATTGCTTATTTCATAAAAAAATTGCCATCATCAAACATGCCATGCTAAAAATATATTTTTGTTCTAAAGAACTATGTTAGCTTTTTCAATTTGAACTAACTACCTCATTATCTTTTACACAGTATATGGGGTTTAATCTAATATCAATGACCAATGAGTAATTTTAGCCTCCCCCCTAAAAATCATAAAACATATTTCAGATGGAAAATTGTGAGGCATGCATACACGCATGTGGGCCATTCAAACTACTGAGTTTTGTAAGGAGAGTGCATTCTGAAAAACATATTTCAGATGGAAAAATTATGTTTATTATGTTATGACATAGCCCAGTTAGCTCAGGTGGTAGAGCATGAGACTCTTAATCTCAGAGTTGTGGGTTCAAGCCAGACGTTGGGTGATCTCTGATTACAAGGGCAGGCTTTGTACTTTCTCACTCGACAAAATGTAAAACCCTAATTGGACAATGAAGGTGTTTTAATAATCAAATGGTTATTCAAACATGTGCAGTGCTTTTTAATTAGAGATCATTTCTCTGAATTTCAGGAGCCGGACCAAACCTCATGCAGGCAGTTGCCGATTGAAATTCACAGACCTCTACAGTCCTCATGGAAAAACAATAAACCAGCACAACATCCCATAGAATGCCAAAATGCACATTTCCACCACTGGCAACCTGTGTCAACAAACTTTAGTACAATTATTGATCAATCAATGATGTTTGACTTTTCCAGGGTTACCAGCTCAGTTCTTAACTCTGGACAAAATTTCAATAAGGAGTCAAGTAGCAGAGGGCTTCCATTTCTTTGGCTAGTGACGCTACTAAAAAAACAGTTTAATAGCAAAACCATAGCACAGTAATATCGAAGCACCTAAAGTAGTATATGACTGAGTGAGTTGATTGGCACTTTTCAGTAAAACTAGAGGAAATATAAAAAACAAAATGACAACTGTGTAAGTTCTATTAATTTTAAATATCACAGCTCTATCACTCAGAGGTTTTTGGCTTGATATTTACATCATACAACATCTATCCTTTGTCAAAAACATCTTTTAAATATCTCCTTATTTTCTGGGTCATTTTTTCTGTAGATTGTGCTTCTTTTTAAAACATTTTACCTTTTACTGATCTCAATGGGGTTAGTACTTTTCTACTGTTCAGAACTGTTATTCTCAAGTTTCTAAAATAAATAATTGCCATGTAATATAATACAGGTTTGCCCAATATCATATGTTGTCCATTTAAATATACACTAACTGGACACTTTATTAGGTGCACCTCTGTAGTACTGGATTGGGCGTCCTTTTGCCCTTAAAACTTCTTTAATTCGTAGCACAGTTGCTGCAGATTTGTTTGCTGCACATCCAACATTTTAATCTTTTGTTCCATCACACCCTGAAGATGCTCTATTGGACTAAGATCTGGTGACTGTGGAGGACATTTAGTACAGTGAACTCACTCTCACATTCAAGAAACAAATTTGAGATGATTTGAGCTTTGTGAGATGTGTGTTATCAAGATACAAGCAGACCGACCCGTCTGGCACCAAAAACCTTGCCACAGGTGTACCTAATAAAGTAATAAAGGATAAACATATTGTGTTTTTGTTTTTACTTACTGTTAAATGAAATGACTCTTGGGCTGTGTATGGACTCGCTTAAGACCGCACTACTGGAAAGACTGTCCACCTATAAAGACATAAAGACACAGCAATGCTCATCTCAGACTGACTAACTTGCTAAAGGAAAAAGATTAGATCACTTGAGAGGCTTTAAATGTCTTCATATTTAGATTAGTCGAAAGATGATTCAGGATATATTAAGCACATCTATAAGCATTTCCTTCCTGAGCCGCCCAGCATGCTGCTGTTTCAGGTACGTTTCATTCATGCCTTTTATTCATCTCTCAGGCCATTAACTGGAGGACTAAAACCTGTAATTTTTTTGCCAGGGGGGGGGAAAACTAAGCAAAATCAAGCCAAAAAGAGCCGCTGATTGTAAGTGGTAAGTTCAGAGCAAAACAGTTTGGCACAGAATGACTGAGTTAAGGGGCTGAAGCTGATCTGATAGCAATGTTTGTCTTTATATGCTACAGTGGTTACAAAGTAAAGGAGGGCTGTTCACGACAGGGAACAAATGTGCAAACATATTCCAGTGTTTGCCGGCAGGAAACATTTCAACAGCTAAGAATACTCGGCTGAATAGTGAGTGTGATGTAATGCAACTTTTTGGATTATGGCTATTTGAGTTTCTGTTGCCTTCCTAACAGGTCGAAGCAGTCTGCCCATTCTCCTCTGACCTGATCTGTTGCTCACCAGATAGTTTCTCTTTTTTGATAATTTTCTGTAAACCCTAGAGATGATTGTGAGGGAAAATCCCAGAATATCAGCAGTTTCTGAAATACTCAGACCATCCCGTCTGGTGCTAAAAAAAAACAAAAAACATATCACATGTACTTGAATCACCTTTCTTCCCATTCTCATACACAGATTTAACTTCTGCAGATCATTTTGATGATGTCTAGTTGCCTAAATGCATTGACTTGCTGCCATTTGATTAGCTGATATTTATTTTAAGCAGCAGTTTAACAAGTGAACCTAATAAAGTGGCTAGTATTAAAGTAAATGTCAGACTCTATAACCATAAACAAGATGTTTAACCTTGAGAATAAAACTGTATGACCGATCTGTGCATCTTAGGTTAACTAATGTTTCCCAACAGATGAGACTTAAGTAATTAATATCCTGTCCAGAGGATAAAACTCCCACTCACTAAAAGATTCAGGCCACGATGCAGATTTGCCATTTACCATCCAGAGCAATTAATGCACTCCAAATTCCCCAGCTTGGTTTCACTTTCTTAACAACCAAAGGATGATTTGCAGGAGAAGCGACTAATTGAAGATGTGCTGGCTACTGGCCACACAGGCAAGAAGAATTGACATACTTAGCTACCAGCTAGAGCGGACAGAATTTATAAGCACTTGGCAGCAAGCTTGAATTAATTTGAAGCCTTGCAGATGTGCATATATCCTTTCAGCAGCTTGTTATTAAAACGACAACATAATTTGAGAACTTTTGTATTGTCTCCCGAACCAGTTTTGCTCTGTCTAATCCAACCAAACAGTCATATTTGGAGTCTTTTCCCCTCCAAGTGCGTCAGGTGCAGGCTGTATTCACCACAAACCATCTGCAAAGGCAGTTTAGTGCTGACAGTCATGCACCGGGGCTCAGGCAACCGGGAACTCACTGCCTGCAGAAAATCAAAACAAAGAAATCCAGACAGCAGCATCTGTCTAAGTCTCTGGCTAAGAGTTAAGCAGAGTAGTTTTAGCAGCATTAATCTATTTTACATCTGGGCGGATGTATAATAAAGAAGTACATTTTCAGAATGGATGATCAGACCAGGGCAATATTGTCATTCCCCCTCCGCACCAACAGCAACACCGTTCTTGTGTTTCAGGCCGTCTTCAAATACATGTTGTCTTCAGATTAGATAATGCCGTTCTTTATCCTGCCACTATCCGGATGCGCTCCGCCCACACTTTGCTCCTTGGGTCTTTCCATTTGGAGGGAGGTCTATTATCTGCCGACCCATCTGTCACAAGGATTTAGATGACGCCGAATGTCATTGTTATGACTTTAATACTTAATACTTCACTGTGCTCTGTGCATATTGTTCGATTCAGAAGTGACATATTTGATATTTCATAAGCTCATAAGCAGCAGATCTGTGTCTCGCTTGATTAATCTTCAAATCTAATCTTCTGTCTGATTTCAAATTGACTGTTATTCCATTTTAAAGATTAGATTTATTCTGAAAAAAAAAAAGATTGCATAACACACTCCTCCCTTCACTATAATGATACCAATTAATGAAGTCTCATTTCTTATCAGACTTTTAAATAATTTCAGGCTTATTTCTGACACCAGGCCACCTATATTTAAGCAGCCTTTCTCGCTCCCTCTTACACACACACACAGACACACACACACAAATATAGGGAGGATAAAGTCTGCCAATCCCAGCTAAAAAAAAAACAAACTCTGATGACAGATGACTCTCTCTTTGCCTTCGCTCCACACAACATCTGCAACTTAGAGACTTTGCGGTCATTAAGCCGCTCCAGCTTTGAGGAAGATGCCCTGACAGCGGACATTAACGCAGTGGGAAATGCGGACGAACACAGGAATAAAAGCCTGAAAATGTAATGGATATCCGTGGGTATACGTCGTCATATGCAGGAGTTTATAAACTTCACTTAAATTTATGGGAGGAGCTCCGTGATGCTGAGGCTGCTGATGGATTTCTGGGAAGTTCGTAGACTGCGTGAAGAGTGCGGACGTTTGGAATATTCTGATCCGAACAAACCACGGCTCACTGGTGTTCCAGCCTGAAATTTTTAATGATCTGAATATTGGATATTTACTTTAGGATCTCTGTGATTTAAACACATGTGACCTTCAGGACCTTGAGATGCAACTCTGAAATACCAGGAGGGAAATAAACAGATTAAACTCCGACTTAAGGCCTTTTTTTCATCCTTGGAGTGGATTGGCTACAGACTGGGAACACTGACCCAAAAGGTAAGAACAAAATATATGAAAGGAAAACATTTGGAGCTTACACAACTAGTACATTTTGATTACTTTATGTTTTTTAAAAAATATATATAGTTTTGTTGCTTTTTTAGTTATTCTCTATGATGATAATGTGAATACAACAAATGTAAAAACCATAATAAAATCTCTTCACTAAGCTTCCCGTGACTGAAGCTTCTTTTCAAACCGCATTCAGTGGTTTCCCATGTTGTCTAACATCGTCATCTGTCTCTCTAACCCTCTTTCAAAGACTGTTTAGCTTTCTCATCATGGAGCATCCCCCTTCCATGACCTCCTCAATGGTAGATGGAGATGAGCTGGATGTCCAGCGCCCCATCCTGCCACCGAGGATGGTTCCTCAGCCCCAGGCGTGTGCCCCGCTATGTGGGATTCACCACACGGTCCAAACAGCAGCCGAGCACCCCGTGTGGCTGGACAGAACCCAGGCCATGGCCACCACACCTTTATACAACGGCCACCTTTATGTCACGCCATCTCCTCGCTGCAACAAAAGGGGAGACAAATCCAAAGGGAAAGAGAAGAAGGGTGAGAAAAGGTCAGGGGGGAGTAGGCCAGGTCAAAAAGACCGAAACCACCAGTGCAAAGGCAAACTCTCAGGATGCCACAGACTGCAGGAAAAAGTCACATCTTTCACTGATGTGCCGATTGCTCGCTGTGGGTTACCCTTTGAGGGCCCCTGCAGGTCACCCCGAGAAATCAGGGATGTCGACGGTCAAGGTCAACGCAAGTCTGGTAATGTTTCTGTGGAGATGCAAGACCGCCAGAGTCTTCCAGAGATAATAATCACCAGCAAGGACGACAACCCCCAGCAACACAACAAGGAGACCGAACATCGTCAGGATCCGTGTGAGGCAAAAGGCCTGCTGCCAGGAGCTGAGTGCCCCAGCACGAGCCCCACTTGCAGCCCTAAGACCAGCCCAAAGCACAAAAACGATGGCGATGGCGATGGCGACGGCGACGACGACCGGTACCGGAGGTCCCACAACATCGGCTGGCGGCTGGTTCGCAGGAGGGCACTGTTTCTGAGGAGGCAACGCCTGAACGACTGCGCCCTGGCGGTGGGGATATTCGGTGTTGTGGTGATGGTGATGGAGACGGAGCTCTCCTGGAGCATCTACAGCAAGGTCAGAGAGGAAGGGAGTGTGGGTGTGGGCGGGAACTCTAGCCTGTAAAAGATTTGTAAAAGTGTTATAGAAAACATGCACAGGAAGATCAAGCAACATAAGATTATGACTGTTGATATCTTTTCATAGCCTGAACTTCATAATGAAGGTCATCAGCTGACAGAGATGTGTTATTTGTGTGTGTCACCCACAGAGCTCCATCTACTCCCTGGCACTCAAGTCAGTCATCAGTTTTTCTACACTCATCCTGATTGGCCTCCTCATAGCATATCACTGGTGTGAGGTGCAGGTAACTTGTTCTTTACATTTGGAAATTTGCCTTTGCAACCAATCAACAGAATTTATAGTTCGTGATGCCTAAAATAATAAAACCAAATGGTGATTTTGAGTCTCAGATTATTCATCTTAAGTATTTTTAGAAGTCTGACTCAGAGAAAAGACAGTAAATCTAATTTTATAGTTCGTTCTGTGCTGTGATCTACAAACTGTGCACAGTTCTTCACAGAAATCGCTTGCACACTAATGCACTCTTCTGATCCCCCTGGCAGCTCTACGTTCATGATATTGGTGCAGAGGATTGGCGGATTGCCATGACAACGGACCGTTTGGCTCTGATAGTCCTGGAGCTGGCAGCGGTGGCCATTCATCCTTATCCAGTGGGTCTGCAGGCCTACTTCCTGCAGGTCAAGACCCGCATGACACTGTCAGAGACAGAGCTGGAGATCGTCCTGGCTCTGCCCATGTTCCTGAGGCTCTACCTGCTCGGTCGGGCAATGATGCTGCACAGCCGCCTCTTCACAGACACGGCCTCACGTAGTATCGGGGCGCTGAACAAGGTGGGAAGTCACCTTTGGGCTCCCCCTGCAGAATCTGGCTTTGGGCTTATCTGGCTTGGATAGTACTGTGATGAGATCATAACACATATAAATCGAAGAAAGGAGAGAAATTCTAGGCTTTGGAGCAGGATTCGTGGGATTTTAAGTCTATATTTTGGATAATGATTTGGGTCTGGGCTTCCTTTTATAAACATTTCATGCACATCTCTTTATGTCTGTCTAGGTGGGCCGAGAGGTCTGTAGAGGTGTGACACTTGAGGTGTGATTATCACAGTTTCGCCCCAATGAACCCCTGTGGTTTCACATGTTGGCTATGTCCCTCTCTAGCTCTCCTTTACTTGTCTGCTTTTCTTTTCCACAGTTGATAATACCCACCTGCCTAATCCCTTCCCTTACTAATGCTATTTAAGAGTGATGAAAACAACCTCTGTCCCCTGCTTCTGCAATACCAAACCTACTATCCATGTGTCAAGCCAGATTGAGAACAAGTTTTCTTATCCCTCATGTCCTCTGTATTATATAATCATAATCTGAAAGGTGCTATCCCAAATAGTTTGGTTAAGTAGGCCGCTAATGTCAAATTATGATGTAACGTATCCCGTTTGTGATCTTCAGATACACTTCAACACCCGGTTTGTGGGGAAAACACTGATGACCACCTACCCCGGGACCGTGCTGATGATTTTCAGTGTTTCTCTGTGGATTGTGGCGGCATGGGGCTTACATGTCTGCGAGAGGTATGTCAGGATAGTTGTAGACTGGCTCCGGCTCTCTGGGATATCTAATGTTTCATTTTCGCCCGACTTCTGGCAGATAAAGAGTAGTAGTAAAATCTTCCCACTGGCAGCAGCAAATCCAATTTTCTTCCGCTGTTATCTGCGCAGACTGCATGATATTGACAAGATTAAATATCAGCTAATCTAGATATGATGCTGCTAATTTTGAATATGATAGTGATCTTGAAGACGTGAGGACATTTCGCCGCTCATACAAGAGGTGTCTGCAGTTCTAAGGTGCAAACCTCTGTAAGACACGCCACCATCATGTGAGCTATTGAGGTCAACTGAGGCAAGATGTGAGTGCGGAGGCAGAAAAGCCTGGGGGAGGGGTCTCAAGACTGCATTGTAGGTGGCTGATAGCTGGTGTCGTTCACAGTGGGCCTCCTTTACTCTTCCCTCAAACCATCTGTCCAAAACGATCAGATCTGCACCCCATTAGACCTCTGCCTCTTTCTACAGACAAAAGCATGAAAGTGCTTTTGTCTGGTGACACTGGGAAAGTGCCATTCCCAGTGTCACCATTACCTTTACATGGAGGAAGATCCGGGCTCTTTCAGAGGGACAACCACAAGCTACTCACTGGTTCACATATGTGGTTGGCAGCTGGATCAAAATTGAAACTTAAGAAGAGGAGGCTTTCACCGAACGCATCAACTCAGTGAACAGAAACATTAACTTCACCTGGGAGGATACCAAGGATGATAAGTTACCATTCCTGGACTCTGCTGTGCTCATGAAGGTGGATGGAAACCTCAATACAGACCATGACCTGCTCTTTGACTGCAACCACCTACATGGGGTGAGCCTGCAACCCCTCCGAGGCAGCGTGGACAAAAAGGGGATGTACATACATAATGAAAGGTCTTAAACATGTGGTTATCCTAACCAGGCCTTCGTTAAATTGATGAAGATGGGAATGAGGAAAAAAACTCAGAAACCAACGCAGGAGAAACAGGATGACAGATGGAACAACATCACTGCCCCAGTGTACTTCAGACCAGGTAATACGCCGGTGTGCATCTCAGCACTCAAACACAAACTGAACAGCGCAGTGTTCGCTGTACAGTGCATTGACGATTCCTGGGACCTCTACCTCTAAAGGAGGCCATCTACTGTGAATAACTATTGTTGATCAAAGGTGGTGGCTTATGACACCAGGTATCAGCCACCTAAAATCTTGACATCCCTTCTTGAGCAGTTCAAGCACTACTCACACCTTCCGTCATGTGACCGTCAACCTGATACTGCGACGTTTTACACATTAACACTGGCCTTTTTTCACACCTTAGCTCATGTGACAACACCCATGATTGGCTCAACCTCCATCAGGACAACCACCAATAGGACACCTCCTAGTAGGATTTAAATATCTGGGACTCTCTATCAGTTATTTAGCGCTGAAATACCCTCCAACATGAGAGTCTAAATGTCTTCATGAACCAAGAAGTCCAGTTGCCTTCTTTTCAAGCACTTAAGAATACCATAACATGCAGGATTGTGAACCCACGCAGACATAAGCCTTATGAAAAGTAGTATTTTTTTGTAAAATGCAACATAAACTCAGTGAGGTTCAAAAAAATATATATATTAGTAATGTAAATCTAGGATAAAAAACAGGGGATTGTGCACAGATATCAGTGTGAGTAGATTGTTTTATTTCTGCAGACACCACAACTACAGGGACCTGAGTAGCAACTACATGGAGGCCCTGTGGATGGTCTCCGTCACCTTCTTGTCTATCGGGTATGGAGATGTGGTCCCCCACACTTACTGTGGACGCAGCATTTGCCTCCTCACCGGGATAATGGTGAGGCAGAGGGTGGATAGTTGTCTCTGTAATGAGCAAGCGCTGACTCTGAATGCAAATCTCAATCTGAACGTTTAAACGTTTGTGACTCCTGCAGGGAGCCGGCTGCACAGTGTTGGTGGTGGCAGTGGTTGCCAGGAAGCTGGAGCTGACCAGGGCAGAGAAACATGTTCACAATTTCATGATGGACTCACACATCTCCAAGAGGGTGAATACTAGTATCTCCTTTTTAAAAAAAATGTTATTGATGATTAAACATGTCCAAAAGTAAGAGATATTATTCAAAGGCTTCACTTCTTTCCTGTTTGTACACCGTAACATGCAGGATTTGACATCAGATACCACATATTGACTTATTTTACTCAAAATCCGGGACTTTTCAAATGCCAGAAAACAAATCTGACTTAAAATCTTCAAAACGAGTGGCATCATCTTCCAATAAAATCAGTTTGCTATGATTGCCATTATTTTTTTCCTGTTCTGTATGGATACTAGATGAATAAAGTTTTTTTTTTTTTTCAAAAAGCATTTTGGAAAATGGAGGAATTGGCTCACTCGAGACAATTTTTTCCTCATTTTCGATTTTAAAAATTTGCCCATGGTGCACTGGGATTTGTTCCAGCTTTTGTCAGCGTTTTTCAGCATTTTTCAGCATGTGCCGTAAATAACAGCGCTCTTAAGATTTTGTGCATAAACATACAATAACTCTCTCCGTGATTTTTCTTCTTTTCACCAGATAAAAATTGCTGCAGCGAATGTGCTGAGAGAGACTTGGCTTATCTACAAGCACACTAAGCTGTTAAAAGACCACAGCAAAGTCCGCATGCACCAGCGGAAGCTGCTCCTGGCCATCCACCAGTAAGGCACTTAACCCACACATAATAATAATAACCTCTTTATCAATCACTGCCTGAAATGATTGAATGCCGCTCATTTTAAATTCATTTTAAATTATGTGCCATTAAAAAATGAATAGATCTACTTTCCTCCTCCAGCCTTTCTCATTCTCTCTAATATAGTATTAGGTCCATAATTCCATGAATGGTTGGACACAGTTTCAAATCATAGATGTGATTGAAGACTTTAAGCTTTCATACAAGAGGTTTTACAAAAGTATTAAAATCTGTTTAGGAATCACAGTTGTTTTTATGCCCCGTTCACCATTTTCAGAGGCTCAAAAAGTAACTGGACAGTTGACTGATAAGAAGCTTTATGGCCAGGTGAAGCCTGTTCCCTCGTCATTCAGCGAAAAATAAAGCAAACATAATACCTGAAGTTGATTCAAAGTGCTGAACTTTGTAGCTTTTCATTGTAATTTTAAACATGAAGCCCAAAGAGATGTCAGTGCAAGTGAGGGAGGTCATTATTAGGAAAAAGAAAAATTAATGTAAGCAAAGAGATAGCAAAGACTTTAGGAGTGGCCAAATCAACGATGTTGTGCATTGTGAAAAAGAAGGAAAGTGCTGGTCAGCTCAGCAGCACCAAAGGGCCTAACTGACCACAGCACTTGGGTGCATGATCACAAATTAATTTCCTTAGTTTAAAACAACTCCAACACAACACCTAACCGAGTTAAGAACACTCTGGAGAAAGCAGTTGCGTCACTCTCAAAGTCTACAATCAAGAGACTATTTTACAAATGTAAATACAGAGGGTTTAGAAAAAGGCGCAAACCACAGTTTTCAACAGGAAAACCAGATTAGACTCAGAAAACATCTAAAAGCAGCTGCACAGCTCTGAAACAATTCTTAGGACAGATGAAACCAAGATGAATCCAAAGCATACAGCGTGATCTGTCTGACAGGCTGGAGGAAGAGTTACAGCATGGGCATGTATGGCTGCCAGTGTAACCGGGTCACTGGTTACACTGATAATGTACAGATGAAGTGTGCAGAGATGTACTCTCTGCTCAGACTCAGCTAAATGCTGCAAAGCTGATCAGTCAGTGCCTTGCAGTGCAAATCGATAATGACCCAGAGGAAGCTCCAAAAGCAATTTTGCAGTTTCTCAAAGCAACGAAATGGGATATTCTTCAATGACCAAGCCAGTCTCTACCCAACAGAGGATGCTTTTCAGTTATTGCACGCAAAATCAAAGGCAGAGAGACTCACAAGCGACTTCCACCCAAGTATTAAAAACAATGTCTTGATGCATGCTCAAACATCCAGGTAAGTAAATCCCACAAGGTTGATTCTGTTCATCTGGACGTAGCGTCGATCAATGGTCATGACAATTTGCATATTAATGATCAAGGAACCGGCCTCACAGCCCATTGTTTATTCAGTGGGCTGGGTTTGGTCATTGTGCAAATGTACTGTTTATAAGATGAGACTGAAGAAGTCACTTGGATGAGTGACGAAAGGTTTTTGATGAACAGAGTCAACAATGTTTGATAAGTATGAAAGGTATTAAAAACAATGTTTTTATTTAAAACTTATAGTTGACCAATAATTCTTGGACTGAAAACGGACGACTGTGTACAAAATAGTTTGATTTTATGCTAAAAATCTGCACTTCAGTCACACTTTATTTGGTTTTAAATCCACTGTGGTGATGTACAAAGGCAAAACTATAAAACTGTGTCATTATCAAAAAATCCCTAACTGTAAAACAGATTTACGATTTCTAATGAACCGCCCAGTTTGAATCGAGTCGTTTAAAGTCACGTCTTCTCCTACATAGTCATCTGAAGAAAATGACAAATTTAAGGTATGAATTCAATGAACGGTCATTTAAATTAGATGCCCAGCCCGTGTAAAAAAAATAGAAACAACCAAAATGAAATGAAAACCAAGGAGTGGTGCCATTTGTGTCCATATACATTGTCTCTGAAAGGCAAAAGTTCAGCTTTGTCATTCGGGGATTTTCCGCCACACCTTATAAGAAGATATTTCTTCTAAATAAAAGCCACTTGATTACTACTATATCACTCTTGTCTACTGCTGCAATTACAGTACATTTTAGCCTGCAATTGTTCCTCAAGCCACAAGTTATGCTGACTTTTATATCAACCATTCCTTGCTAAATTTGGAAGATTTTCATTTGGTCCCGTTGCATAATCCAGAGAGATGCCTTTAAATTGTTTAATGGAGCTACTCTCTACCAAAGTCCTCATAAAATCTGTTGACATTGTGTCGCGTTTATGGCTTGTTTCTCTGGTCATGTGTCTGACTGGCCCTTTAAATTACTGCTCGTCTTAAAATGAAAACGTAGCAATGTCATAAAACCAAGCAATTTTATCTCCAGGCTGCGGCAAGTGAAGATGGAGAAGAGAATTCTTGCTGACCAGGGGAACACACTTGTGGACCTTAACAAGGTATGAGAGGAAGTGCAGGCAACACCTGTGTCCTGCTAACACCCCAAAAAAGAAATAATCTAATTGCTGATGCAATTTTCTTTTCTTTCCCCCAACTGCACACCGATTTATACGAAGATGCAGAACCTGATGTATGACGTGCTGTCGGAGGTGCAGGGCTGCAGGGGGGATCTGGACACACACATCCACACACTGGAGAAGAGTGTGGAGGAGCTGAGGGAGGGCTTCAGGAGCCTGATGCCGCTCCTCTCCAGCACACTGTCCACACAGAATTCCTCCATCCGCCACCTGCTCAGGGAGAGAGAGGGGAAGACTGAGATTGCAAGCGTGAGCGGAGAAGACAGGTAGAGGGATGGCAGACGAAGGCTTCTAAGGACGCTTGAGAAGAAGTTATCTGCCTTTACTGCAGCTTAAACAGACTTGAAGATAAAGGGAAAAGAGATGTATAATTGTATTAAAATATATTTTCTGTAGCAGAAATAACTTTAAAATGTAGAAGTTAGTACTGTGGCAGCAATAAAAAATGAAAATTAAACCGTCTTTGCCCAATAAACTTAATTTGAATTTATTGCAGGAAGATTTTACTTATCAGATGTGGACTTCTGAAATATTTCACCTTCTTAGGTTGTCCATGATCAAAATAACCAGGAGGTACTTTTAGCTCTACTAAATGCATAAACTAAGCCAGCTTTTATTCTGTAAATGCTGCATCTTTCTGATTGTGTAATAAAATGTGTATAACTTCCAGCACAGTTTTCTATTGTAATAAAAATCCAACCGTAACCTGAAGTACTTTATCATAAAGGTGACAACACAACCTTTATTTTCCAGCTTAAAAAAAACAAAACAACAATAACACACAAACCATTCCTTTAGCCAAAACAACATTTTATTTAGAGAGACAGGGTTGGAGGGTGGAGTTACAGCAACAAACCATCTGTCAACATTAACAGAGGAAATCCATCTGCTGTCCCGTTAAGCCTCCAGATCTCGTTTCCGATCAGGCCGCAGGGTCCGCCGCCGCTGCCGTCTCGAAGGCGAAAGACGCTGATATCAACCGGTCCATCCCCTCCTCTCCCCTTCAGCTCCGGGGAGGACAGCTAGTGCTGCTTCCTCCTGAATGAGCACCCTGCCAACGGAGACAATGACAGTCAGGCTACAGGATTAATGCAGAGCATAGCATGCTGCCATTGTGCTGCACAGCACCGATACAAGAGTCATTGCTTTCAGTCATGTGACTGATTAGGTCAGCTTTAATTTTCCCCATTCCCTGTACACTAATTCAACAAGCCACCCTGAAATCTGCACTCTCACTAGCTTTAAGGCGGTAAATAATCTGTTCTCAGCCTTCGAAAGGGGGGAGCCAGTGGTCTAGCTCAACCCTTCTGCAAACTGAGGTTGATCTGGCACCGGAATGAGACTGCAAGACCACGACAGAGGAAGTCCAGTCACTTAGCAGTGCGGCCAAAACATCATAGTGATTTAGAAACACACAAAATTGTATCGGCATTTCCAGATTAATGACACCCACCTCTGTCAATAAGAAACAAGACAACAGCATGATTTTTCATAAAGAGCAAAATCAGCTCCTGGATGTTGATGTCCTGCACTTTCTGAATGCTATTTGATGACATCTATAGTTCTGTAGCCTATCTGCTATTACAGGCTTTAAATGTCTGAAATTATTCCAGTCGTGACTTTATTCCAGTTCGGAATAACACATAGCAGCATCACTTTGACAACGAATTTGGTATTACCAGTAAAACTGAGTCTGGATGTGTGACTAACCTCAGTCACTAAAAGCGTATTAAAGTTCTGGCACAGGGGAAAAATGGGTGACAGGACGAACACACCAGCCTGAGGCTTACGTTTCGTGTAATTTGTCTAGTGGCATGCCCATTAAAAATGCAAAAATCATCCCCATTCTAGATATTTCTGCCGCTACCACAAATCCCCCAAAAAATAAAAAAAAAATAATGCATGATACAGTCGGAGTTTATATCAGCAGGCCACTGAATGCCATCCAAGGACACCCCTGCTGTGGATGAACACTGCACACAGATGAATACTGACCCTCTGTGAGACGTGCTTTGCCTCCGGTGGGCTGACACAGGACTGTAGAGCAGCCCACACACAGCACGACTGTCTGAGCATGGCTGAACACCGTCGTGATCTTGTAGCATCCTGCAAAACAACCACAATGGTTGATAATCCAAAACTCAAACCCCCGCAAACGCTCACAGGTAAAACTCAAACCCCAGGTGACATGTGCGTGTGTACAAAATGCGTACCTGGACATTTTACATCCATGAAGTAAGAGTTGGGACTCTGAACAAGACGCTTCTTCTTGTGCCTCCTCTTCTCCTCCTCAGGGGATGGGTGCAACAAGTCTTTTGCGAGCTACAAGATTTAAGAAAAAGAGGAAATAAAAGAGGGTAAGCGTTATTCAACTCATAGAGAGCAATTAGAGAAAATTAAATAATAACACCAAGCTATCAAATTCAAAAGAAAAGGCGCTTTATCAGGGACATTTAGCTTTATTATTTAGCTTAAAAACGCTTCAGTTGCCATGTTTTGCTCGTGCTACGTGCACGTTCAGGCTCCACGATCGGCCTACATTTCTTGGATTAGGTAACCCAACGTGCGCATTTACATCGATCACGAATTGTTCCCCAAATAGTCAAACACCCCCGGTAAAATACGTCGATGGCCACTCTAAAAGACACAAAGCAAAGCGAAAATATAGCTCTGAATATTAGGTTTTCGAGGCTGTATCATCGGTCGTTGAACTGGCTCCATGTTTGCGGTGTGTGCGCAGCCATCTTGTATCACAATGCGCTCGCAAATGCGCCCAAATGGGAACATTTAGTCCCGCCAAACTCAGTCCAAAACCCGGCTAAATGTCTCAAACCGGCACCGATCGAACCGCTGGTCTCTCATGTACACGTTGAGCCGTGCGGTGACTCCTTGAAGGCCCGTTAACTTATAGAAATAGCATTTCGATACTGCCTGTCTATACTCACTGGCATGTTGGCGAGGAAATAGCCGCTGCCGAAAAGGAGGCATTACCGGAAGCAAGGGGTTCATATTGGTAGCTCCTTTGAGCACCAGCCGGACGTGACGAATTTATCAGGATATGGCAGCCATTTTGGAGAGGTCGAAAACCCGCCTTGTTTAGTCTTTTCAGGCCTTTATTTATTTAAGATAAATTTAACTTTTTAAGGCAAACGCATATAATATGTAATAATAAATATAATAATAACAATAATAATAATAAAAATAATCACTATTGATCATATGTAAAAATTAAAAAAAAAAAAAAAAAAGCTTTTAACATAGTGTACAATTTTGTTATGGATATTCCCAAATCAAATAAAATATATTATAGATTTTCCAGGTATTAGACTGATTGAGTGTAAATTACGAACCGTTGTCAGTTTATGTTTTAATTTTCCTCGAGAGCCCCCTGGTGGCACCTCGGGGAATGACACCACTGATGTGCTCTGTCTTCTTCAGCATCAGAAGAGGCATAAATGTGAAGAACCATCCAAGGCAACGGTTGTCAAACTGTGGGATGCAGACACCAGAAAAATGAAAGCAAACTAATATGACTATATATTTAAGATGATGGGGAAAAAAAAAAAAAAGGAACACCTGGAGCAGATGTGGAAGGTAAAGTACAAAAAAGCATTAAGAGCTGTAACTCCAAAATTGGAATTTTTACATTTATTTATTTATTTTTAGGGAAAATAATGAATAGTTTGATGATGGGACCGAAATGAAATATTAATTAATTAAAATCCCAGCACAACAGGATAATGGATTACACAGTTTGATTCCAGGAGATACAAATCATATAAATCCCTCTAAGGTTACGTCCGGAAGATCATCCAGTGTAAGAATCTGCCAAATCACACGCATGGAGTGGCTGCTGTGGTGAGCCCTTGTAAATGAGGGCTAAAAGTAGCTTTTATTCAAGTAAATACTGGCACAACAATGCTGCACTCAAGCAGTCAGATGATAAAAAGTGTTTAGGTAAAACAGATTTATTTAGTTTAAGGTAAAAACTTGGATCTTTGTCTCTTGAGTCAAATGTCCTCTATTCTGAAGCCATAATGGTTCAGATCCTGGAGAAAAAAACATCAAGTTTCAGGAGACAAACAGTCTATAGCAGAACCATCTGTATTACTCAAAGACACTAGCATTCCCCAATGTCCACCTATCCATAACCAATTTAGAACCACCAATAAACCTAATGTGCATGTCACCTGAGTGATGGCTGGTAACTGTAAGGTGACTTAACTAAAACAATTAATCTACGCAGTTCTGATTGGCTGACCTGTTCACTCATATTATTCTCTTTAATTAATTCTGACAAATAATTAAACAGCTGAAATTACTATTATACAATTATACACATATTTGTGTTGCTATAAGACAAAGTGAAGGCCCGTTTTGTCAGCCTCTCTACTCTCCCAGTCCCTCCTCTTCAGAGTTATTTTTTTTCATTGGATCTAAGGCAGCCATCATTTCCTTTATCTTCACGTAAAGCTCATTTTCTGGTGGGAAAATGTTTCTCTGTGAGAGAGAGAGAGAGAGATCAGAAATTATGGCAAATAAATGATGTTCACATTAATCAGCACTTATTTTTAGGTAAAATTGAATGAAATGGGAACAACTAATGAAAGACTCAGTCTTTCATTAGTTGATAAAAAAAAATTAATAAAAAGTTAGGATGTAATAAAGCAAAACAGACTTTAATAAATGCTGAAACATAATATAATATAAATAATGATGATAATGATAATAATGATGACAGCGGCTGTGAACGATTTTAAAGTCATTTTTTTTGTCTAAATGTG